GGAAAGAAGAGAAGGGACAGGAAGAGGTCTTGCTAATTTATACATTAAAGAGCCCTCAGATCTTACATGGTTCAACACAGTTTAGCATTGAGGCCCAGGAAGCAATCTATTCAATCTTTTATTTCCTCACTCTGTCTTCTCTTTGGTGTAGCAGCTACAGCAGGAGTCTTCTGGACAGTGTGTGTGTTTCTGTAGGGTCAATATAAAAGGGTCCTTGTTCATTGTGCACATATATCAGTACTGGTGTTTATGTTTGTGCATTTGCATGTATCCTAACAAGCCCGCACCCACATGCATCTTGTTTTGTACCCATGTGTCCCTGGAAGCGTGTGTGTCTGCAGCTGCACATCTGTGTGTGTGTGTAATATTCAGGTGGAGAGGCATGGTGCGGCCGGGGGGACATTGTGTGATACTAATTAAGAATAACCATGTGTATTTGTCAAAAGAATTATGCTGATTATCTCACAACGGTCCCGGCACTGGGCCCCGCAGAGAGACAGAGACAGGGAGATGGACCAATATTAGCATATGGCTACATGGACATACACACATGTACGCTTTCTCTCTCTCTTTGTCTCTCACTCACACATGCACACATGGATGTGCAAGTCGAAGTAAAATGAGTGCCTAAGAACATAAATGAAAGAACCATGTCTAATGACAGGTGAGTGGGCTCCGACTGGTCTGCCTTCAAGTGGGTTTTCTCCACAGGTCTTCTCTGGTCTCTCTGCTATGTAATATTACATCCTGGAGAGATAATAAAGCACTGTGCTGTTTCACTTTTTCCTATGTGTTTCAGTTCTTTCAATGTGAGGTAAAATATACTATGATAAGACATGATTCAGTTCAGTTCAGCTCAATTCAACTGAAGCCTTCAGTCCAGTCCATTAGTACAAGCTGTGCCCTGACCAGGCCTGTGAGACCAGTAATTGTTTTCGGAGGTTTCTGAGGTGAGCCAGTGAACCCCACACTGCTCTCTTGCACCCCATGCCAAGCTCTCAAGCCAAGTTTGTGTGTCTGCGTGTGTTTGCCTAATTCAGTGCTGCTGGCACAATTGCCCCTGTGTCTGTTTGCAAATGCCCTGCATGGGTGTCCCCACTAGTCAGTGTGCATTACACAAACCCTGACACAGAGGTTACAGCCGTTTGTGCATTACATACACACACACAGACACACAGAGTGCCATTAGGCATGTGTTTTGTCTACGGCCAGCACTGCAGGCGTCTGGAACAGGCATGCCCACTTCACACCGACAGCCATGATTGGCTTTGGCGGCTCTAGACCCCAGGAACAGCACATTTAGTGTGTATTTGTGTGTGATGTGGCCAAATACGAGTGGACAAACTCTGGCAAGTGAGGGACAGTATGCTTCCACAGATATCTCCTGAAATTTAAATGAATCACTGTCTATGAATGTAATTTTATCTGAGCTTTATTTTGTCAGGCAGCACAATTTAATACAAAAACGTTATTTATCAAGCCTTTAATTAATGACTGGTTAGTAGAACAAATTAAATAAAAAAAACAAGCACAAGTAATTTCCATTTTTCTGTTGAGATGGTGAACAAAATAAAATTGAAATCGATGCCAAACTGGAGTTAACTTTGGACAATTTTGGACTTTTTTTTAACCAAAATAAATCATAGCTAACATTTTGCAGATTATACAACATTGGGACTGTCTTAAAATTCCACTCGATGAAGGGTTCAAAATATAGACAGACAGACACCAGTATCTTACAAATACTAGTCTTCTTTGGCATACCTGCTGTCTTTACACCCCTCACTACCAATCTATGGACATTAAAGTGACTGCCAAATATAATCGCAAAGACGCTGCATTCATGTCCACGCTGTGAGACGCCATCAGGCAGAGAGACGGGCAGGAAAGCCTCCTCCACACTATGGTCAGAAGTACTGCCCGCTTCCAGAACAAATACTTGACAAGGATTTAGTAACAAGTTTTCACACACACAGCAGGAGTTGAGTGGACTCTGTCATCACACACACACACACACACACACAGACACACTTGGCATTCCTCTAAAGTGATGACCATCATGTCGTGGTTGCAGCACTCAGCCCCCATTAAGACAAGTGGAGAGCACTGCACTGGATGGTGCAGCCTCTTCACAGACAGACATACAATAACACACAACCTGCCATTACTGAGCGAAAGAGAATGAGAGAGAGCGAGAGCACAAAAAGAGAGGGAGAAAGAGGAAGTAGGAGAATATAAACTGACTTAAAAAAAAAATCACTTGACAGAATGAGAGGAAGACAGAAGAGGAGGGAATGTAGGGTGCAAAGATGGTGTATGAGAGTAACATAAAAGCTGTAATTTGTGACCAAAGTAGTGAAAACACAGATGGAAATGTAGTGATGGAGGGAGGACTAAGGGGGGAGGAGTTGTGAAAAAGATGAGGAGACAGAGAAAGATTGCCCT